TGTAGATTAGGAAATAGAGTTGGGCAAATGCTCATTGAGTTTCTAAATTGTTTTGTATTTCTGTTTGCACATTTTACTATTAACTGCATTTATAATATAAAAAGATATTAAGAAATATTCTTTGATCTGTTTAATAAAGATTTTTAACCTTTAATATTTAAAAAATTATTGCTAATATATATATATATATATATATACATATATATATATATATATATATATATATTAGTTATTTTAATATAGAAGAAAAGGCATTAGGTTTGTGATGCATGATCTTCCAAGAATAAATTTGTATGGATTGGTATCAAGCTGTATCAAACATGGATTGGTATCGAGTATGGATTGGTATCAAGTATGGATTGATATCAAGAATGGATTTGTATCAAGTGTGGATTGGTATCAAGTGTATATTTATATCAAGTATGGATTGGTACACGGTATTAAGAATGGATTGATCAATCATATGCTTGAGCATATTCTTGCAAATGTTCCATCGCCTTGCAGGATACAATTTCTATAGCCAGCGACTAATATGGTTTAGGATTTTAAAAGGATGTATCGTTGAAATTTATTAATACTTTGTGAATTGTGTTTGTCCAGTTTATGGAAACACATCTTGACAACAACGCGTAAGTGATTGTGTTCATTTGTGAAAGAATCTCTTCAATACTGTATTAGAAAACAAAAGGAACACTAGAAAAATCTTTTCTATTTAGAGAACTATTTTATCAATAAGTTTCACATTTCAGTTTAATTTTTTTGTTGTTGTTGATATTAAATGAAATATTTGAGTCTTTTAATTTCTTAAATAAATCATAGAGAAGTTGAGGGTCATGTTTATCTTTCTCTATGATGCTTTGCTTGCTGATGCTTCTTGCATTGTTAAACGCCAAATTGCTTAACTTGATTGTATTATAATTTCCCGTTAGGTATAAGTAACAATATTCATTTCCATAATAGAGGTTTAAAAAAGAAAAAAAAATTCTTTTTTAAACCTCTCCAAAATAGAGGTTTAAAAAAGAAAATTTATTCTGGCCTATAAATGGTATAAAATGCCTACTACTCTAATTTTTTGAAATCTTCTTGATGTGAACCTTGTTTGGCTGTTGTCTTATGCCACTTAAGTATCATATTTACTGTGGCCAATGTGTCTTTAATACTGTTTTCTACTTGTTACTAATAAACTAATGAAATACCAACAATATTCTAATACTTTGTTATAACTATCATAGCCACATATTGCCATATTCATAACATCTAAAAAAGTGTCCGCATAAGTAGCTGCCATCAAATTTTCTTGCAAGTAGTTCTTAAGTTCATTGACATTAAAGAGAAAATTGTTAGATTAAAAAATGTTGCATTTTTTACAAACGTATTCACAATACTCCACAGCTCCGAAGTCAAAACTGGTAAGATTGACTGGGTATTGAAATTCTTTGCAAAGTAATATCTTAATACTTTGCAGAAGAGTCTTATTTTAAAATCTGGTGAAACAAGAAATCCTCATTATTTATAAACAGGTTTCAAAAAAAGTTTTATGAAAGCAAAAAGATCGCAAAAAGATGCAAAACATTTTATTCTCCTTAAATCTGTTTTTTATTGCTGCTAGTTTTAAACAGTTTCTATTAAATAGTAAATAATATTAAATAATAATTCAAAATAATCTCTAGTTATAATTATAATAAAATTAAAATACTTAAATTTTATGAGATGCGAAGTTTTTTCTCTTATTAATAATCTATTTTTTATGGTTGTGGTTAAATTAGCATCAACAAAAAACAGATTACTTAAAGAAGAGAAAATCTTTGCATTTTTTATAAAAATTTCATTTAGTTTTATTATTACTATAACTAGTTATAATATAAATTTATAACTTTTTTTATAAACTTAAATTCTTTGTATTATAATTTATATTTTTTTAATTTGTATTTAATTTTTTAATTTTTTTAATTTTTTATATTTTTTTATAAATATTTTATAATTTTTTTTTACTTTTTTTATAATTATAACTAGTTATATTATATGCTACTTAAAAGTATATGTTATATTTATAATTTTGTTATAATAATTACTATAACGTTTTTTAATTATAATTTTATTTATAATTTTAATTGTTTAATTTATTAATTAATAATACCAGAAGCTGTTTAATATATTTAAAAATCAGTTACAATACTAATATTCAAAAACTTACACAGTTTTGTAGTTACAAAAATAATAACTTTAAAATATAATTTAAAGATTAAAAAATAAATAGTTTGCAATAATTTTTTTTTTTTTTAATAATAGAACAAATTTGGTCATCTGAGGGATGTAATACTATTAACTCATTATCATCAGAAATATATTGTCAATGTAATCACCTCACAAATTTTGCACTGATATTAGATGTTTATCAATCTGGAAATAATCCTGTTATTGTTAGCATTATTTCTCGGATTGGCTGTTTAATTTCAATTGCTGGATTATTTATTACAATTGTATACCATGCAGCTATTCCGTAAGTTTTATTTTGTTTTTCAGTACCAACGAAATTTGAAGTGATTTCTTTATTTAATTATATTTTACAGCTCTTTTTAAATATGTATTATAGATAATTCTATTGTGTACTTTTTAATTATGAAAACAATACTAAAAAAATCCTTTTCTTTTATTACATAGTATATTTTAATTTTAACATAGTATAATATTACATTTTATTATATATTTGGGTTAAAGTATTCGTAGTAGCATATAATTAAAATAGTTTGTAATAACATAAAATATAGCATAAACAAATACATTTGTGGTAGCATTTAAATGAACTTTAGCTAAATTAAAATATTTTAATTATGGGTAAATAGAAAGTGAATTTATTATATAAACTTCTGTAGGTGCGTGAAATGATGATTTAGTGATAAAGTCATTTTGAATATTGTGTTAAATGAGTTTGTTGAACGATGTTGTCTTCATTTATAAGAAGTATCAAATAATAAAGGATCATTGAATCTATACTTTAAGTTATAAACTTAATCTATAAACTTAAAGGTCATTGTATCTATAATTTTTGAACCTAAACATTAAAGCTCCCGGATTGAATTCATAGTTTATTAGAATAAAAAAGTAGCTTTCTTAAGTGGATTTTTGATATTCTTAACAAAAATAATATTTTTATGGCAAATTTAAATTAATTAAAGGAAATTTAATGAATTAATTTTAAAGGAAATTTAATGAATTTAATTAAAGGAAATTTAATGAATTAATTTTAATAGTTAAAAAAAGTTTATACATTACTTGTTTAGAAAAGTTGTTGACCCACTTGTTTATTAACGTTAAGTCCCCATAATTACTATATAAACGTTTACGGTAAATATTATATTACGGTATTTGCGAGAAAATATTTTATTATATTTTTGAATTTTTTTATTATTATTTTGATTTTTTTTATTATTATTTTGATTTTTTTTTCTATTTATCTTTGCTTTATTTGACTCAATGTACTTTTAACAGCAATTCAAATTTCAATTTTTTACGGTTTTCTCATTTATATAACTTTTAATAGTTGAATCAAGTTTATAGTTTGTCATAGTTATATTATATTTTTGAATTCAGAACTGATATTTCTTTATATATATATATATATATATATATATATATATATATATATATATATATATATATATATATATATATATATATATATATATATATATATATATATATATATATATGTATATATATATATATATATATATATATATATATATATATATATATATATATATATATATATATATATATATATATATATATATATATATATATATATATATATATATTCGAAAACATTCGAACCGAGTAGATTAATTTGATGAATAATAGCAGCTGTTTATTTTTTATTATTCAAAACTAGTGAGTAAAATTTGAGGGCAAGTTATTACATTATTTTAAACAAAATATATCCATATTTTTGTTTAGAAAGAATCTTTGAGATTATGTATATGTCTTGAATGAAAAACATTTACTCTTTAAAAATAATTATAGTGTTTTTTTGTCACATACACATTTGCATAAATTAGGTTGCGTCACTGAACTGAAAGCTAAAAAAAGTTTAATTATCACAATAAAAATAGACTTTAATGCAAGGTTTTTTAAGAAATTATATATTTTAATGTAAACTTTTCATCATTATTCAAAAAAAATTGATCAAAAAGCATTATATTAACTTATAGTTATAGTTTAAAAGCTGTTGCGTCACTTAACCCACCAACGGGATAATTAGCATTATATAAAATAGCGTCAAAATAACATCCAAATGTTTAGATTTCGTTGTGGGTTTTATTCAAATAAATTTTGAGTTTTAGTATTGTAAAGGGCTATTAGTAAATATTTGTAAACTATTGGATTTATGTTCGTTTTTCTTATAAAGTTGTAAATTTTTAAGAAATGGAATCAAAACTAGAAGTACGTTAGGCAGAATACCAACTAACTATGCATTTCAGAATGCTAATATAAAAAAAAAATGTCCAGAATAAGGTCTACGAGATATCGAAAAAAATTCAAAGCCGATCCTAATAAAAAAGCAGCTTATGCTGCTAAAACAAAATTAGGAGTTTTGAAAAGTGGCGCTCTAACAAAAAAAAGTTTTAAATCAATCTGAAGACCAAGCTCATCTTTTTAAAGACGTTCAACAAAGAGGAAAAGCATTGAAAAAAGTTTTAAAAGCAGTACCAAATTCAGAAAACAAAAACAATCTGAAATTCTTTCTATTCTTTCAAATAGCTCTACTTGTAAAGATAATTTGGGTTTACCTCCAGCATGTTCAAAGCTGTATGGTCATTCTGAAAGCGATGTTTTAGAATTTGTAAACTTTTATAAAGAAGATGAAGTTTCCAAAATATCACCTAACAAAAAAGATATCTCTTGATATAAATTATTTGACGGAAAAGGAAACAATATTCTGATACGTCATTTATGTTATACGCTAAAACAAGCTTTCGAGATATTCAAGGAAAAGCATCCCCAGCAGACACAATGACGTTGAAATAACGTTGAAACAACGTTGCAAATCAACCATATGCCACGTTGAAACAACGTTGAAATTTGGTGGAATTGGAAACAAAATCATACGTTGAAAACTACGACGTTGAAACAACGTCGATGATTACGTTATTTCAACGTTGTTCTAACGTCATATCGACTACATATCAACCATATTTCAACTTTGAATAGATGATATGTTCGGTTGATACGTAGTCGATAAGACGTTAGAATAACGTTAAAACAACGTAACTTCGACGTTGGTTTTTGTTTTTTATTTTAGTTAAATCCAATTAACTAAAACATTATCTCAACTTTAATTGCAATAAAATATCACAATAAAAGGGCAAGAGTTTACGCAAAGAATATTATATTTCAAGTAAAATAATACGATACAACTAAATTGCTTCAAGGAACCTTAAACACAATGCAAATATAGTAAATTGTTTAAAAAATATATTTTATTTAACAATAGTTCCAGAACAATTAGGTAAAAGTATGTTATAAATCTAGTAAATCGCCTTTGGTGCGTTGACCACCACCATTCGATCTGTCGAGTGCGTATTTTAATAAAATCATTATTCCATTTCTTATTTTAGCAACTGTAGTAGTCGCTTTAATTGACATGACGCTCTCTAAAAATAGGTATTTTTGAGTAATTTGCATAAAAAACATAAAGAAGTTAAATAAAAAACAGCATCAAATCAACAAACTCTGATTTTTAAAAATATATAGTTTTACACTTGACTTACCAGTAACAATCTTACAAATATTTGTTCCTTTAAACTTCTCTTTATTTTTACCGCCAGCCATACTAAATTTTAATTATTAACCATTGGTCAACAACCGGGATTATACGTTGTCATTATTATTATAGTTATATTTAAAATTATTACATTTTATATATATATATATATACATATATATATATATATATATATATATATATATATATATATATATATATATATATATATATATATATATATATATATATATATATATATATATATATATATATATATATATATATATATATATATATATATGTATATATATATGTATATATATATATATATATATATATATATATATATATATATATATATATATATATATATATATATAATTATTTTATTTTTATATGTATATATATATATATATATATATATATATAATATATATATATATATATATATATATATATATATATATATATATATATATGTAGATTTATATATATATATATATATATATATATATATATATATATATATATATATATATATATATAAATATATATATATATATATATATATATATATATATATATATATATATATATATATATATATATATATATATATATATATATATATATATATATATATATATATATATATATATATATATATATATATATATATATATATATATATATATATATATATATGATATTGGACAAAACATTTGCAACCAACATCGAACAATGCTAAAAAGTGTTCCTAATTTTACATGTCTTTAAAACAAAACGAATTGTATTACCACAGCAAACAGTTCAGGAGTCTGGATTCATAGCATGCCATGACATAAGCAATCAGCTGACAGCTGACAGCACAAATGCAGAATTTCGATGACAAGTGCCATTTTGCAGCAGACAATAGTGCAACTTTTTTGGTTTGTTTCATTTTCTTAAGTCTGGTCCGTGTCAACGTCACGGAAGTTTTTTTAGTAATTTAAGGAAGCATCCAGAAGCACGCAGAAGTTTCCAGAAGTTTCCAGAAGAAGCGTTTGGAAGAATCCAAAGGCATCCAGAAGTATCCTGAAACATTCAGAAACATCCAAACGCATCCAGATGCTTCCAGAAGCATTGAAAAGAAGCATCTAGAATCTTCCAGAACAGGTTCATACAGGTTCATTTTACTATATAAGAGACATGTAAACCGACATGTGATTCAGTCAGTAAATGGAAGTCAATCAGTCAGTATTATCAAGACAGTTTATCGAAGTGAGTTTTATCAAAGAATATCTATTCAAGAAGTGAAATACAATAAGTGTTTGATTACATCAATACAGTCCTAATCCAATCAAGACGTTGTGTTCCACAGATCATTATTGTATTAGCACAAGGTAAATGTAACACGGTAAGCCTTGAGAGACGTGATTATTTATTTTTATTATTTTTAAGACTTTAACTGCAAATGAAAAAAAAAAAAAATGTACTAATAAAATCTATAATTTATAATAAACTTTTAAAATTTTAATTAATATATATTTAAAACATTTATTTTTGTAAACAAATAATATATATTCTTAAAACGATTTATGCTAGAAATCTGAAAACGTAACAAATCGTGAATAATATAATTTCTAAAACATTTCAACAAAATGCTCTAAAATTTTATTTCGCTTAGTCAGCGTACTTTTTGAACCAATAGAATTAGTTTGTTCCTTAATTTGGCAGGATTTTAGTGTTCGCGA